AAATTGGGGACCATACCATAAGATTTAGAACTTGAAAATGTCCAACTTGAATTACCATTGTCATCTCAAATTTTTTCTAGCCTCTGCTTAAAAAACATTTCCTCTCATTTTTCAAATGAATTTGGGGAAATACAATTTTGTTTCGTCGTTATTATTTTTGTCGGTCTCTTTGTAATCTAACGAGATTTCTACCAAGGTTGTGTTCTGGTGATGTTTCAAGCTATTTATAGCAGACAATCACGAGCTACTTTCCAGCCAATCAGAATCATTTTTACAAGCGATTATCAGCAATCTCATTGGTCATATCGGTCTACTTTGGGTTTTACTATCCCACAATTCATAGTCGATATGTAGACAGATTCTGCATGATGTGCTGTGATTGGTTGAAATGAACGTCAAGAGTACACAACCTTGGTATAAATTTTGTTAGATTACAATGGAGACAAATAAATAACAAAAAACAAAATTGTTATCTAGAAGTAGATTTGGGCAAAAATTACTTGCCACAAAAATACATATAAGAGTCTTTTTCAAAATGAATATATGAGAATTGAGGCTAGTGTACAATATAATTAATTTTCAAATAATTGGATATTTGTTATTTTTGATTTGATAAATTTTTTTTTTCGTTTCAGCGTTACATAAAAGAGCCAGATAACCACGATCATACCCAGTTATTTGACGTCATCTCCAAAATGTTAGAATACGACCCACGGAGCCGAATTCAGCTGAAACAAATCTTCCGTCATCCTTTCTTTCTTCGATTGTACGAAGCAGACTTAGTTAAAAGTGTCGATCTTTCAAAAAACGAGGATCGCTCTCGCTCGCATAGCCTTAGTCGTTAAAAGATAGATAGCTTCATAGCCTCGAGATTCAAAGTTTTAAGACACCTGGTGCCACTCTGGTCAAGTAATTTTAAGCTCTGGTAACATCTGGTTAAGCTTAAATTAGAAATGAAAATTAATGCTTTGGTAATTGCTGGATTTATTTTATGAATTTAAGCTTTGGAATGAAAATTTGATTTAAGACACCTGGTGCCACTCTAGTCAAAAATTTTAAGCTCTGGTAACATCTGGTTAAGCTTGAATTAGAAGTGAAAATTAAATCTTTGGTAATTTCTGGATTTTCCCTTGAAATTTGAGCTTTAACACTTGGTTTATGCTCAAATTCGAAAAGAAAATTCGATTAGGAACACCTGGTGGCACTCTGAGCTCTGGTAAAATCTGGAAAAGCTTAAATTATACTAAATTAAAATCTGCTATGGTTGGATTTGTCCATAAAATTTAAGATTTTGAATTGTTTACAGTGGTCTTGTTTTTTGTGATCAGAAAATTATTGGTGATGAAACTTTAAGCTTTTGGTATCTCACATAATGATGAGCTGGTATTAGATCTGGTTTAGCTTGTGTCGAACAAAGCTTAAAATAAAACAACCAACAAAAGGCTTGTCTTTGGATTGCAGAATTTTTACAAGCAATAGCCACAAGAACAAATAACAAAAGCCAAGTTTTCAAAAATCCAAACGAATTGAAAAAAATGATCTCTAATCTTCGAGGCTATAAAGGTTTCTCTTTTGTGTGAGCGAGAGCGTTTTGCCTGTCCCGCGGCATTTTTTTGTGATATTTTGAAAAGCTTTCTCAATTCTTTTCAAATTTTTTCTGACACGTTTTTTTGGTCTTGAATGCATGATTTTGTCAAGTAGTGAAATATTATACTCTAAATTAGAGAACATGTGTGCAAATGTAAATATTTTTTTTAAAACCACTGCCAGGGAAATCTTGAGGGTGTTTTGTTAACTGAATATCTTTTCTAGAGAGTCCACATGTCTGATATTGTTATTTTAGGGGTTGAATTTCAGGGTCGGTCATCTGAATACCTACGCAATCATTGAACTATTTATCTTTGGATAATGAATGCAAAATTCAAAATTTTCCCGCCTTTTTTTAAATTTGAATTTTTTCCCGCCTTTTTTTGGAAATATTATTAGACCAATGAAAACTCACCAAACTACAGTTTATCTATGTCTGCAAAGTGATGAAGTGTCTTAGTTTCAACTCCTCTTTAAGGTTTATTCAGCATCCTGGGCCAGTGCTTTACAAATTAACTCCTCCCACCAAATGTCAGAAAAAATTTTTGAATGTTGTATTTAGCTTGCAGCAAATGTTTGAAATTGTATAAATCTCATAATCATATGAATTTTTGGCGCAAAATGATATTTAATTTTACCAAATCGGCGTAGAGTTTTCAACCTTTTAAATCGTAAATCATTTTTGGTTCGGATTGTTTTTTTCTATTTTTTTCCAAATATGTTGTACGTTTTTGAATAATAAATATGTATGTCTCTTGTAAGCAAAACTAGGATATTGTATGCTTATAACATGAAAATTGTGTAAAGCTGAGAAGCTTAAATCATTTTGAGCAATGAATTCTAATGGTGCTCAATTTTTCTTACTTAAACAAATTTTCATTCTGACTACAATATAAATATTTTTAAATTTCCATTCAATTTGTGCATACTACCCCTTAAATATATTGTATATTGAACATTAAAGGGACAAGTGCGCCATTTTGAGTAGTTGATTTGAGTCTTGAATATGTGTAAATAGTCTTCAGAAGTACTAGAAATGTACAAAAATTGCATTATTCCTTTAAAAATATCTCAAACTAGGAATTTTACTCACTATTTCTATAGATGTCTTTTCTATATATCACAGTGTCTCAAGAAAAGACGAGTCGTCATTTTAACTTTCAAACGCAGATAATTCTGGACACGCGTGGATTTGAAGACTCAAATGGCGCATCTGTCCCTTTAAAGCCAATGTAAGTGTAAGAAAGCAGATAATGAATATACTTACCCTAACTGGAGAACTTACTTAAAGCCACTGTATGACCATCTATTTATTTTTCATTGTAAATTTTCATAGAATCATTGTGTATATAAATGATAGCTGAGCAGTGTATGATACATTGTGATTTGAACTATGGTTTAGCTTAAAAGTTTTGAGTGATATAGGCCTGGAACCCGTTCATTGGACTTACTAATAAAGTTCTTAGTGCATTACTATAGATGTTTTAGTATTTTTACTAAACAAGAAAGAAGTCTCAAAATTTCTTAATTTCTGTTGATTCAGACTTGATTGATTGAATTTGATTAATCTTGATTGAATTTGATTAATCTTGATTGAATTTGATTGATATTTATTGCATTTGATTGATATTTATTGAATTTGATTAATCTTGATTGAATTTAATCTTGATTGAATTTAATCTTGATTGAATTTGATTGATGTTTATTGAATTTGATTGATATTTATTGAATTTGATTGATATTTATTGAATCCAATTGTGATCTTGATAAACTTGAATAAACTTGATTGAAGTTTAATTAAGTTAAATTGATATTGATTGATCTTATAACTTGTCACATGATTGATCTTGATTGATGTTGATTGAGCTTGATTGATGTTGATTGAGCTTGATTGAATATGTACTATAGTGTAATTTACTGTAAAAACTGTACAAATGTAAAAAAGGAAATTTAGATTTTAACCAGTAGAGTAGCTTAAAATTGATGCTGAATTATTATCAAGTTTGAATGTGCAATTGTTAGGTCTTGAGTGCGGTTCACTTATGAGATAATTTATGCAAATTTATGTGCATAAATTAACATAAGAATTGAACCTTATTTGGTAATTGAGTTAGGAAAGATGGTTTGTCACATATTTAACGAAAACTGAAGCAGTTATGGCTTCATTATTAAGTTGAGTGCTGTTCATTATGCTAATTTATGCAAATATATGCGCATAAATTAATTATTATAATTAGATACTCAAGATATTGTGTTTTCATTAAGGGATTGCATTGAACAAAACCATGGAAATGCCTTAGAAACTAGTCACAATTCATCCCTTAATCTTTAACCCTTTTGAGTCCCTTTATTGTGAGTTTGATTTAACCCTGTAAGCAATTTAATTATGTTACCTCCTGCAATTTTTTGAATTCCTGCAAAATTATGACTTATGGGTTTCCTTATTTTTTAGTGTTAAATTAAGCAAACTATTTGATTAATTGGTGTTTCTAATGAATTATCATGTATTCTTAATCATATCATTATGTTCTTATTGCATATAATTAAGAGTTTTAACCAATTATAAATGTCCATGTATGTACAGTCTGGATAAACAAAAAAGACTTTTTGACCTTTCTTGATCAGTCACTCAATAAAATTCTGTTGTTAATTCTCTTCTAATTTAGCTAATTATGAATTAATTATGGACATGTGAGACAAACTGGTATTTTTCCAAGTCATTAGAACACCTCTACTTTCTATTCATATAGGTATTAACATTTTCATTTTCATAAATGAAAAGAAGGGAACCCATCTTTAACCCTGTAAAGAATTGAATGGAAACAGTTGTCTAAAATATTGAGTAAGTGACTGAATAGAGCCCATAACACTTTTCAGAATTAAAATCTGACATCCGGTTTGTCTGCGATGCATTTAAAATTGATAAGTATTTTCATGTGCAGCTATTGTGGCATTAATGGTGTGTTAATGCTTTGGAAGTGGAATGTTTTATTTAAATGCATAAGAACTAGATGCCAAATTTTGATTTAAAAAGTGTCACATAAAAATCATTGCATTAAATTATTAAAAAATGTTGTGAATGCTCTGCTTTGATCATGAATTGCTCCCTGAATTCATTTAGAGATATAAAACTATGCCTATTGAAATGTCATTGTTATATTCTTGATTAGTCAGAACCAAGGAGCCACGGTGGCTCGCTATCCCGAAGGTCCAGAATTCAATCCTGGCATAGGTCAAGATAATACCTTAGAGGGGCTGACATGGAAAAAGTGTCTAGTCGTTCGGATTGGACAATAAACCGAGGTCATGTGTGCTACAGGCTGTGCATGTGAATGATCCCCAGACAGTTGGAATTCGAAAAATTTCCCTCATTGCACACTGCATGGCGTTAAGTAGGACGCAAAACTTCATTACTTTCACACTGGTCCAAACCCACGTTCCCTTAGCAGCAGTGTTTGACTTTCACCTATAAAGACACTTCCAAGCACGTTATGTTTCGGGTTGAATTTGTCAATTGTGTTCCTTTCCGTTATTTAGTCGCACCGAGATGGGGTTTTCACATCTCGCACGTACTTCGAGAATTAGGTCACGTGGGAAGAAACATGGCCGCCGTTTCGAAAGAAAAACAGCATGTGCAGCATTGAACTTTGCAAAGAAAGAATGTCGAGTTGACATTCGTAATTACCGAGTGACATCATGTGTTTGGAAGAAGGGGTATGTTTTTCGATTAATGTGTTTCGAAATTCCGAACTTTCCTGCCCGTCTGCCCGTTCGTTGTAGCCCAAACAACAACAATGACAAAAACATAACGGTTTTTTGGGGACTTTTTGGGGACTTTCCAATCAGTAACTCGACCAGTCCACTTAAATTAAGGTAGTTTAAGTAGTAATAAACACAATATAGGTCTATCTGGTATAGTTTCTATTACTCTTTATTCTACCTCAAAGAAATAGTGGTCTAGTCTTGTTTATGTTTTGAATAGAACCAAGATGCGCCGAAATTTCTTGGCTCGACTTTATCCAAAGCGCTCATGTTAAACGTTCCATGTACAGAAAATGCATAATTATCCAACACGTTACACCACATGCTTCAATTCGCTTCATTGCACAATGTAGGACCTTGTCTCTCGCCAAGAGCTCATCCTTAGCAAACGTCACAGAAAAAGTTGGATGTAAAAACTCTATTTCATTTCGACTAAACATGAATTGCAATGTAAGGTTACGTTGCTATGAAGCCTTAATGGCGTATCGCTTTCGCCAAACACTTTCAATCAAGATCAAAGAATTATTTAAATGGGGTTCAAACTAAATACTGAGGATCGTGCAGAAAAGTAGGACGTAAAACTCCATTTCGACTCAACATGCAATGCATTGTTATGTTGCTATGCAGTCAATAATAGCGTGCCGATTTCGACTGGTATTTTCAATCAAGTCCAAAGATTAAAAGTTAATTAGTGAAATCTAAAGGTAGTGTATTTTT